TTTATCCCTTCCCAACAGGTCAGCTCTACCATCTTTGAGATATGGTCAGTCAGTTTCATGGGCCACTGGTCCTGTCTGATTCCTCCCCCTGTCACCACCCAGGGTCACTTCAGCTTGCTGTGAATTCAGCTGACATTTGATGGAAGGGTACCTTGTACCACCTCAGAGGTAATCTAGTCTCTCAGGTTATAGGTGGTTGAAGTATTATGTGTAGCTTGCTTTGAAATTGATCAGACGCTCTGTTAGGTTTACAATACTCTAGTTAAGTAACCACCAAGGAGGAAACCACACCCCACCAAAACTGGCAGGCTACTATATATATGAAGAGGCAGCAAATCCCACCCTCAGCTACCAAAATGTGGTAGATGCCTGATTGTCACACTGGGGAGATTTCACTGTGTTCAGCCAGACATGAATTCTCTGTAATGTGTTGTACCATGGTTGAAACACCATGCAGTGATAATGGGAAGAAGCTAATTTTTACTACTATAATAAATTGTTATGAACAATTGCCACCTGCAGGTGCCTCCAGATAGTACTCAGAGGTGAACACTGATTTCCTCTGATATCTTTTTTCCAACCTTTTTTCCTTTCATAGCGCTGTTTCTCAGGCTGTAAATTACAGGATTCAGCATAGGAGTCAGAGCTCCATAGACCACAGCTAGGATCTTTTTCTTGTCAGAAACTGATTCTCTTTCGGGCACCATGTACATTATCATGATTGTCCTGTAAAAGACGCTGACCACAGCAAGGTGGAGGAGGCCTTTCTGCAATCCTGACTTGAGTGAATGCACGTTATAGCAGGCCCATGCGACTGCATGTCACAACTGTGAAGTCAAAGGGAGGAATTAAGAGAAAGAGTCTGGAAACGTGCAACAAGACCTCACTGGTATGTGAGTTGGAATAACCCAGTTTGACAAAAATGCGTAATCTCCAACTCATGATCTGCATGGAATTGGATATCAGGTGGATGCCTTAATAGACCACGTGACCTTTCATCCACAGCTATCACGCACTTCAATGGAACGTTGGTTTCATCATTTTAAAGGTTTTGAAGTGATCAGTCACAAACTCTGTGAGTCGGATTGAGGCTAAAAGTCATTTTGTCATGGATTTTAGTGGGTGCAGATGTGGGTGGTTCATGGCCAGGAGAACCATGGAAGGACAAATACTATCTGGAATCAAGTCAATCTACTGTTCATTCTTCCATGAAAAGTTGCTGCAGTGGAGTCAGACAGAGGGGTCCTCTCACTTTGCAAAATGTATGAAGTGGTCTGGGGAGAGATTCAAAACATCCTGGACTGGCCTTGTAATGATGAAATATTGCATATTCATATGACTGTTTCTACAAGGTGTAGAGAACTTAAAGCTCTGAGCATACAAACAGATAATCCAGTATGGTGACCCACTACCGTGGACCTGTGCTGCATCTAGAAGCTGGCAGACTAACTGAGGCCTCTTAGTAAGGGGTCTGCCAGCTGACTGGCAACTCTCACTACAGTATAACTTTGGAGTCCCTGTCCTCTTCCAGTGATAAAAAGGAGTAGGATTCTGAAGAATATCACTCCATTGTGTCTTCCACATTTTTGAAGTAGGTCAAGGGACACATGCCGGACATCTCATCTCTAGTCTCACCACCCTTTCACATCTAACTAGCTGGTTTTCCATTGCCAGGGAACCGATATGTGTGTCTATGAAACACAGCTTTAAGTCAAGGCTGGCCATTATTCCATCTGCTTCCTCTCACACACAGCGTCTCCAGGCCCTTCCCAAAACTGTAGCCAAATTGCATTAAGTATTATAAGCCTTATATCTCTGGGAAGTAAGTAGATTGTACTGATCTGAACTATGTTCTATAAAGGAAATTTGACAGCAGATAGCAGTACCTGCTGCCCTTTCTGATCTCAAAAAACCTGGTTCATACCGGGAAGGAGGGCCCCAGGAAATTGCAGGCCTTTAGGCCACACAAACCGCATGGACCTGTCTGGGTAGTCACTGGGAGACACGACTGACTTGTTATGGTCCTTCAACAACAACAACAAAGCTAAATGGGGAAGCCGAAAAGCATTGTGAAAGAAGAGAATGACAAATTATTTCCATAAAGTTGCCAAGGAGGTGATTCATTTAATTCATTTTATACCAGGAATAAATTAAATCACGTTTTTCTCCTGGCTCCCACTTGCAGCTGGGAATGCTTTATAATCCTCCCCTGAGCACAGTCCAAGCCAAGGGCAAGATTTTGAGACAGGCTGGAATCATCCATTAAAAGTAAGCAGCAAGCAGGACAGATCCAAAACTCTGTAGTGCCAGAATTGGAAGAAAGTTTGCCCTCTGCCCATATAAAGAAGTTGATTGGACTGTGGTTCTTTTTCAATAACAGTTCCATTTGTTAAGTTCAGGATTATTTTCCCAATGTCCACCTTATTGCTCACTCAATCAGCCTCGTGCAGGTAAGCCTAGCAGACGTGTTTGAGTCTGTTTATTGTGCTATGTTTGTAGCTACAGTATTATGACCGGAAAGGGCAACCCAGCTGACATGA